GAATCAATTTTTGAAGAATGGTCCAGAAGCGATGAAATGAGGAACCTGAAAATGAAGAATCTGTAAATCAAGAATTTGAAATTAGCACGAGCACTCTCGCCGTTGATGACATTCTCGATTGCCATCCGATAGAACATATGAATTCAAAAACTGGGCTTCAATACCTTTTTTCTTGCAATTTATCTTCACCATTGTTCATTCAAACCCTTCAATCAGATATTGAACATAATTAAGTCTTACGGTAGTAAGTAATATGTCCAATACTAATTATAATTGAGTTAAAAGTACTAACATACTAATACAACAATTAATGAAATAAAACATTTTAGATAGAATTAAAGGTTAAAATTATAATTATTCTATTCAATCAAAAGATCAAATATGTGGCTTATTATATTATTTGGATTCAAGTATTGCAAATATAATGAAATTAAGAATTTTTAAATTTTTTATTTTTTAAATAATTATTCAATTAAGTATTATTTTATCAAATAAAATGATTTGTTGGCAAAGGAGTATTGCATTATAGCTTTAATATCTTGCATCTAGTAATTTGAATAAATTCTCCTTAATATAATTTATACTTTTGGACTTTAAGAATTATTATTCATATATATAGTATAAAATTTAATTTTAAATAAATAAATTAAAAAAAAAATGTAACTTAATTTTTAAGTTAAATATCTTTAATTGTATATTGTCAGTAAGCATTTAGAAAAATACTAAAATTTAGTGATACGGGTCGATGAAAAAATCGTGGGCTGGGGTCGATTCTAAAAAAGCTCGGGCTGATCGACCGGGCCTACCTTTTTGCTAGTATAATTTTTTTCTGATCAAAATCAGTCAACATATCTATATTAAATATGCAAAAGACCATCAGATAGTTTTTTGTCAGACTTTTGTGATGTTAACTGATTTAAATTTATTATTTTTGTCCTTGAGAAAATTTCGGCATGTTAGTATTTTATGTTGATTGATTGTCTGTGCCACTAACATTTGTTGGTTGATTGTCTATGCCATAAGTAGCTGCGTGATGTTGTCACACAAAACCAGAAACAGAAAGTGGATTTTCAGAGAATTACAGATTAAACCAGTTTTGACATAAGTTTCTGCTTACTTCTATATTTAATTTTATCAATTTTAATAATAAGTTATTATCCATGCAACAATCAATCTTAATTAAAATCTGAATTTACAATGTGGTGCAATCGATATACTTAAAATTTAAAACAACACCAAGCGAAGTGAGGCAGAACATAATAAATGTAAAACTGAGCTTGAATCGAGGCTGAAAGTTACTGCATTGGTTATTTTCAAAACTAGCTTTATGTACTTGTGCTCTATTTCATTAAAAAGAGAAAATTTTTTAATTAAGTTTAAAAAGTTAATCAAATAGAACATTGTTTTACTGCTTCACTTGATATTCTAATTATTAGTTAGCTAAAACTGAATGGCAAAGCCTCCCATATATAAAGTTTTAGTATCTATGTTTAAATGCATCTACACTATTGTAAATCTTAATTAAACTTTAAGTTAGCAATTAATGATTGTTGACATATAGTAAAAAAATGTAGAGTTTAAAGCCTAGCCAAGAGAAGTGAGGCAAAATATGAAAAACTAAACTCAAGCAAAGTCAAGAACTATGAACAAAACAAATAGAATACCTTAATATATATTTTTTAATTTCAATTAATCATGTATTATAAAATTGTCAATGTCTGTTAATGCCATATCTAATTACTAGTTGGCGGCGAAGCTGCCACATGATCATGTACTAGATGTTATAAGATCAACAAACCGGAAGGTCTATACAGTAATAATTTTATATTCATATCATTCAAAACCACGAGAATAAATAGTAATAAATTACTAAACAAAGAAATTTATCATATTATTATAGTAGTCTAGATTATTCTCTGATTACAAATACGTATATTTAATACGCAATTTTTTTTTTGCATATGATACAGTAGACCAAAAGCCCCATAGAGTATGTAATTAGCTTATTAAGTTTAATTAAATGCATTTTATCATCAAATATTTAACTAGTATACTGATTTTTAATAATAAATAAATAATTTATATTTATTCTTTTTAACTCTAATTTACTTTTATAAAAATATTTAACTTTATATATTTCAATTCAAATTTATTGATGCTTTATATTTATCTTTTTAAATTCTATTTCAATTTTAATAATATTTAGTAACAAATAATATTTTACAAGTATTTCTTAATTCTAATAATTTGAAAATAAATATATACTTTGTATTTATCTTTTCAATCTAATTTCTTTTTTTAAATCTTAAAGGTAAGGATCTAATTTTTTTTTATAACTTACATATTCTATTGTATATCTTATTTTAGCAAATTTTTAACAATAAATAAATATTTTATATTTATCTTTTTAACTCTAATATCTTTTTTATATAATATCTAATATTATATATTCTATTAATATATCTTATTTTAGTAGACTTTGAAAATAAATAAATATCTTATATTCATTTTTTTTAATTTTAATTTATTTATTATAATAATATCTAATATTCTTTACATGATTTGTCTTAGCAAATTTTAATAATAAATGAATACTTTATTATTATATTTATTATTTTTAATTATAATTCTATTTTAATATCAAACATCTAATTCAGAATTAGCTTAATTAATCCAATTTAACTATTTGGCTAGATTAATTTAATTAATATCTAGTTTGATCAAGTATTTTTAATATTAATCAAGTTGGTTAAAAAGTTTGTTATATAAACAAATTAACTAATTAGATTAATTTAACTATAATAAATTAGCTTAATTAATTTAATTAGTTAATTTATTTATATAATCAGATTATTTTAAAAAAAATTTCTATAAAAATTATAAGATATTACTTATAAAATTTTAATAGTAGAAATAGCAAAAATTTTTACAAATAGTACTATATAAACTATTTTTTACTAAGTTTCTTTTTAGTTTCTAATTAAAGTTATAGAAAAGTTTTTAAAATTCTAATAGTAGTAAAATTACTAAATTTTAAGTTATTAATAATAATTATATAAAATTTCTTTACAAATTTGCAAAAAATTTTATATAATTATAAAATATAAATTATTAATATTTGAAATTAGTGATTTTATTATTATTAGAACTGCAAAAATTTTTTTTATAATTTAATTAAAATTAAAAAAAAAATTTACTTAAAAAAAACTTTTACATAATACTATTTTTAATAATCTTTTGCTATTTCTATTGTATTAAATTTTATAAATAATATTTACTAATGTTTATTATAATAATTTTTATATTACAAAAACTATTTAATTAATTAATTATTTGTAAATTAACCAAAGAGTAATTATAGTTTTCTGGCTTTTAAAAATTCCTTAAACCAGTGCAGCAAACTATTTCTGGTACTTACAAGGTAGCTGAGAGATGTTGGGCCTAAATATTAAGCTCAACATTATATAATATATTTATATGATAATCCTAATAAAAGATCACCAGCAAGATTGCCAAAGGAAAAAAATAATTATAATATAACATGTTGCAGATTAAAGTTTTTAAAATATAGTATATTTATATTTAAAACTTTTTTTGTATAGTACAGGACAGCAAAAAATATTTAATTTTTTTAATAGTGCCAAATTTTAGATTATATAATTAATTATGATTGGTCAATTTTTATATAATTTATTTTGATTGGTCAATAAATTATATAGATTCAAATTTTTAATTGTTAATAATAAATATTAACCAATAAAATCATTAGCACATAATTATTATTAAATATAAAATTTTTTTGTACCAAATTTCTGCTTTACTATTAAAATACCAAACTTTGATCTCTTAAAATTTTTGTAAAAAACAAAATATTTAAAATCTATCATACAGATTTGTAGTTTAGTTTATAAATAATAAATCTATAAGAAAGATTTTTAAAATAATTATTTATTATAAAGATATTAGACATTAAACAATTGCTAAAAAATTGAATATTTTTTGTTATCCTATATTGTACTAAATTGATTATCTTTAAGTTTTTAATTAAAGTTGTAGAGATTATTAAAATAAATCTAATGGTAGCTAAATTATCAAAATTAGTCTGGTAGATTATGAGATATCTTTAAAAAATATTTTGTTTATTATATATATAAATTTTTATATATTGATTATATAGAAATTATATAGTTAGTAAAACATTTTTAATAGACAATCTATTTGTTATCTGAAGAGAATCTGCAAATTTTTATAAGTAAATTTACTATTAAGCCAAATGTGGAATGCTCTAATCTAAAACTTTTTTATTAAATAAATCACTCTTGGCTTCTAACAAAGTTGTAAAGCTCATTAAAACATATCTAATAGTAGTAAAAATATTAAATTGGTCTTGTAGTTCTTGAAAAAGTCTTTAAAAAATGTTTTGCTGACATATAAAATTTCTTTAAAAAAATCGATTTTTTTAAAAAAAATTTATATATTAGTAAAATGTTTTTAAAGATTTTTTAAGAACTACAAGACCAATTTTAATATTCTTACTACTATTAGATGCATCTTGATAAGCTCTACAATTTTTTTAGAAGCTCAAGAGTAATTTATTTAGTAAAAAAGGTTTAAATTAGAATGCTTCATATTTGGCTAATAGTAAAATTTATTTATAAAAATTTACAAATCCTCTTTAGATAACAAATGGATTATCTATTTATTTTAATAAACTTGACAAGTTTAATTAAAGACTCCAAGATAATTAACTTAGTACAAAAAAAGTTTTAATTGATGATTCTTTAGTGAACTGAAGAATTATCATAGTATAATGCAATATATAGACAGAAATATAAAGATTTTTTAAAGAAATATAGTGTTTGTCTAAAGAAAACTTTTTTTTTACTAAGTAAATCACCTTTGGGCTTCTAACAAAAGTTGTAGAGCTTATTAAAACACATATAATAATACAGTCAGGGGATATACCAAATTAGGCAATCAGGTTCTGAAATAATCGACACAAAGATCCTTGAATTTGATTGGCTTTTGCATTTTTTTTTATATTCAAGTTATGTTCAAGTTCATCACGGGGGTTTTACAGGATTCTGCATATTCAACTGCTACTAAATGATATATCAATAGACAGTATAAAGCTTATAGTTTCGATCATCCCAATTAATCCCTCAAAGTAAG